CACAACTATAAGTTAGAAAATTATACAATCAGAACCATCTACAGTTAACTATACTCCTAATTCACGTGAATTCTGCATTGACAAAGCATGATAACAGCCTGCAGTAGTCTCGTGGTACGTAGAACTCTATTTTAGCAGTAAGAGACACAGTAAGAAGTACTTACTGCAATTTGAGGATACCTTTAGTTACTATGTTAGGAAACAAAACAAATTGAAGAACGGAATTTGTATTTTAATTAAAGTATGCTTTTGTTTTTCTTGCATAAATGAATTAAAGTAAAAGTGATTCTTGACGATCGACCAAATTACGATACGAACTAAAAATTTCCGTAATACATACATATTCGCAACACTAAAAACAAAATAGCAAGAATATAATCTAATCTTTTCTAAAAAAGAAATTAACAAATGATCAAAGAACAAACGCAGATTTATAATTCGCAACAGTAACAGCGATCGCGATAAACATAGTTTATGCAACTTTATAAAAACCGGATACTACAGAGTGTCATTCTAATAAAAATAGCGATTATGTACTGCAACCACAGCGTAATTCGAAATTAATCATTCGCAACATTAAGTACACTCGTAATTTGATTGAGACAAGTAATCTATACAAATTCTAATACTATCTACTATTTGTAAGAAGAATCTAATAGTCTGTTTGAACAAACATGTAAAACAAATAAAAGTACTGCAAATGAATTACTCATAAATGTATACATGATTATAAATCGGCGACCATTATGCTCCATCAAAAGGCCTTTAGGTCTATGGCATGATTAAGTAATAAGAGCAAATATAAAACATACGACTCACCAATCGAATGAGAAACCGGACTGACCATCGGACATCACAGACCGTAGAGGATGACATCGCAATCGTAAGTCGTCTCATTGCCACTTTCATCTAATAGTCTGTAAATGGAAACAAAAGAATCTTTTAGATACAAATAATCCATGAGAAAAACAGAGCTAGTAATTAATATGATCTATAATATAATATATACATATAACCTAATAGTTAATAAACATTGAAATGAAAATTTCGAAAGTACCAAGGTTATTTCTAAAAGATTTGAATCATTCCTTTCTCACTTAATTTCATTAGACTTATTACACTAATGTATCATCAAATGTGTCTATGCACTTGTAATTAGTACTAATTAAATTGAAATAACGATATTGTTTTGCAATTTACCTTTACGATCAGACACAGACACCGTCCGTTCCCAGTTTGAAACTACAAACCTACAAACTACGTCACTACTACTGCGCAGCGACATAGCGCATTCTTTTTGAAACTTTATATTTAATGAAAAAGCAAATCTGGAACAGAAAAAACAGTTTATAAAGATAAATGTGTAATAAAATCTTCAGAAAATATTCAAGAAATTTAATTTAGACAATAGATTTAACTTATGTCTGTGAGAATGAAAATTAGGACAAAACCAGTTTGCTAACCAACACAATTTTAAAAATCGATGAATGACTTTAAATCTGAAGCAGAAAATAATAGCGGAAAGGAAATTTCCTCTCTGATAATAGAATCACTTCTCTCCCCTGACCTTTCTCGCTTGTTGCACCTAACCCTTTTTCTTTACGTAAATATAAATATGTACATCACAAAGAAATAAAGTTATGTGGGGTTACCTGTAGACTTTGATTATATCTTTAATTACATCTCATCGATAAAAACTGTTAAGAATTATGTAACTAATATCATTTATTACGAGATGTACGACGAATTACATTTAATTACTACATAATGATCACACAAATATATATATATATATATATATATATATGTATTACATTATATGAAGTGTTTGTATGCAAATACCTACACTACTTGTACATAAGGACTTATCTCCTGAAACAGGGGGAATCTTGTTTATTCTGCATTTCTTGTCTGTATTCCCTTAATCGCATAGAACGAACAGTACATATACATACATGCTAAAGCAGTTCATCGCAAGTAAATGGTGCATACAATTTATCATCCAATTCAGTTATTTTTTTGTCAGTTGAAGCCAGTCCCAGAATGCCAATGCAGATATACTAAACGGTTTATATAGATTTGAGTCAAAACAACCGCGCTTAGTTTCCACCATCAACACTGCAATGACACACTGGTTGTGCAAAGTTTATCGTTTAAACGTTTAAACAAATACACAATTTGGTCAAGGGAGTGATATTATTAGATTAAGTGTGAGAATTCTTTATTAATATTTATATTGCTAATACTTCTGTGGTGAACATCGTAAGAAGAACCGTTATATTATGTTAGCATGCGCTGCGTTTATTTGGCAATTATAATACAGTGCCGTTTAAAGGAAAGTCAGAATTATTTATTATTTGAAGGACGAGGTACTGAGAAGAATATTTCTATTTTTATAAACAGTTTCTATTAGAAGTGTGTACTAGCATCTTCAATAATTTGATGGTTAGTAACACGAACAGATTCTTTCATAGTTATGTGAGTTTCATACACAAAACAGTATTTATTTTTATTAGGATAAGAAACAGTAAACGTGCCAAAGTTCTGAACATTGAATTGAAAAATGGTAAGTAAGTTACCACAAGAGTTCAGAAGATATCAACGTAATCGAAGTCAGTTACAGCAAATCCTTGAAGAAACTCAAAAAGCATTGGAAGTTATTAACCTGGAAAATTTCTTCCCTGGAGGTAAATAAAACGAGTTATAATAATCTCAGAATAAAATTTCATTTACGAATTTGTTGCAGAAAATGTTGTGGAAGCATTGTTACCTTCACTAACGTTAGACAGAATAACATACATTTTATCAAACTCTCCAGCTATTGTAATCCTTGGACAAGACAGCAGGGCAAAAGCGTCATTAGTAAATAACTTAATATCTGCTGATGTCTTACCAGTATGTAATGGAATTTGGCGATGGATCAGGCTTAGTTATGGTCCAACAAAATATATTAGTCTTACACTAGGCTTAGAATATGAAGTCGTTGAAAACGTTCCAGTAAATGAAAAACCTTGGAGTACTCTTCCAATTGAAGACCTAACAAATTCTGGTACTGAGGACACAACTTGTCCTACAGTGCTCGAAGTGAAACTCGATCAGCCTATATTGAAAGATGGTGTTCAAATATTTGTTGCACCGAATAACGGTGCGATTAAAATCCTCGCGAAAGAGTTGTTATCTATTCTACCAATATTTTTATATGCCCTTGGAGAACAACCTTTAACGGAACAGAATTTAGAGGAATTAAGAGATTTAAAAGAAACTTATCCATTCAACCCAGTGCTTTTTATATCATCTTTGGGAAATATCACGATCAACAGTATTGATGCTGAACTGACTGAATCTGAACAACATAGACTTCAAAATCGACTAAATTCTAATGATTCCACATCAAGTAAGACTGATGACAATGGTATTGATTTTGACAGAATGAGTTCACTTGGTTTGACATGGATGGATCAGTTGACAAGTTTAGGCTTTCTTAGAATAGAAGAATCAGTCGAGGTCGATCAATTATCTTGGCTAGGTGCCGGACAGTTTGCCCTTAGCTCTAGCGACCTACTAGATTCATGCAAAAAAACGGAGCGAATTTTATATTTTATTCGTGGATGCTTACAAACTTATCTAATTAATGCCAGCACGTGTCTAAATGAAGTACATACAACCAGTTTGAGAAAGTTCGTTCTAAGTGCGTTTGATATGGCACGTAAGATTCAAATAACTCCTAAAAGAATACAATATGCTCAACAGAAGGAAAACGAATTATATGCTAATTTAATGAAGATTGTTAACGAAAACCAGGAAGAACTAACTGAACTGATACAAAATATTATTCAAGAAATGAAAAACGATGTGCTATTATCCAACAATGATGTATATCCGTATCAGAGTACTCCTTTTAACAATACCGAAAAGGCAGAATGGTCTGCGACTGTGAGAGCTGCAACTTCTGAAGTTCAGAGAGTAGTACTCGGCCGTTTGGGTGAAAAAGTTGCGAAGCAATTGGTAAATTCTGTTAACTGTTTACGCGAGACTTTCGTTGGTACATTGCAGCGCTGTTTGATAAGTCTTGAAAAATCTTGCGAACGTGATACTTGCTTGCTAGCTAGCGATGCATTGAAGCAAATACTGTCAGCAGCGTACAATGTTGAATTACATAATTCCTCGCCATCATTGGTACACTCATTTTTGGAGAGATTGAGGCAACTGTTTAAGTCCTTACCTTTGCCGTGGTCACCAACACCCACGTTAGATGTGGTTTGGAAAAAAAAAATTACTATTGAAATATTGAATTCTTTATCAGCTGTAAAATTAGCCAAAACAATATCAATGCAGTTTAGGGATAAACTGAAATCTTCGCACGATTCATTTCAAGCGGCTCTCCGATCGTTAGAAAATTATTATTCCGGAAAGCTGGAGAGAACAGAAGAACAAAGAGTAGCTATAAGGAAATATCACGCTCCTAGATTAGCCAGGTTAGCGTTAGAATCAACGTCAATGACAGATGCTGTTCGTTATGGGATTCCGCACTATAATAAGGAAATTGGCCGCGGCCAGTATGGAGTTGTATTTGCCTGTGACGGTTGGGGTGGCGCACCAGGTCCCTGTGCAGTTAAATCAGTTATTCCTCCAGATGAGAGACATTGGAATGATTTAGCTATGGAGTTTTATTATACCAGATCTATTCCTGATCATAAAAGAATAGTAAAACTTCGAGGTTCAGTTATTGATCATTCTTACGGCGGAGCATCCGGTCTCGGTTTTGCAGTTCTTTTAATATCAGACCGATTAAATCGTGATTTATATTGCGGAATACGAGCTGGTCTGGAGTGGACGGAACGTATACAAATAGCAATAGATGTATTAGAAGGAATACGCTATCTTCATTCTCAAGGACTTGTACATCGAGATGTTAAATTGAAGAATGTTCTTCTGGATACCGAAAATAGAGCGAAACTAACTGATCTTGGGTTTTGCATCACGGAAGCTATGATGTCGGGAAGTATCGTTGGGACACCAGTTCATATGGCACCAGAACTCCTCTCGGGTCATTATGATAGTAGCGTCGACGTTTATGCATTCGGAATTTTATTTTGGTATATTTGTGCGGGTCATGTAAAATTACCGTATGCGTTCGAACAATTCCACAATAAAGAACAATTGTGGACCAGTGTGAAAAAAGGTAAATTTAAAAAGCTACAGGTATTTCTCTAATTTCGTAAATTGTACTAAATTCACAATTGTTTTAATTCCGACTAGGCATACGTCCAGAGAGGCTACCTTCTTTTGACGATGAATGTTGGAGATTAATGGAACAATGTTGGTCTGGAGAACCATTCAAACGTCCTTTGCTTGGAGCTATTTTAGCAGTGTTAGAGTCTATTCAACAAAAAGCAGAAAGAGGCAAGTCCTTACAACTGCTCTCCACACAGAAGCTACAAGAAAGTTCATCAGATTCAAAAAATCCTGCATTAGCATTAGCAGAACCTTATAATCAAAGAGGTGTTGTAGGCAGTCCTAATCCTGCTAAACGTAAAGTAATAAGAGCTGTAAAACACCCTGTTTTTCACATGACTAATCTTTTTCAAACGAGTTTGTGTTCTAATTTATACATTCAAATGCGGGAATTTTGAAAGCATTTCATGTTCTCTGCTTTGCACTTTTTCCATTTCTTACATCATTCATAAAAATTTATATTGTTTTCAGATGACACATTCTCCTAAATGTAAACTACGCGAATCTTGAAATGGAATTTAAAAGAAATTTAAAAATTTTATCATTTGACAAGAGAGATATTTGTTATACATTTGGACAGTAACACATATTCTTGATTACTAGTAGGTATCAAGAATATAAATAACTGTATATATTTGTAAATCACTGAAGAACTGATCTGTGAAGGTATGGTATTTCATAAATCGAGATATTATGTTATATATGTATACAGTACTATTTATATGTATATATATTTGAGGCATAAGAAAAAGATATAGTTTTACAACCCCATAATGCTTTTATATTACATCATTTTTCATGAACTACTTATATATACAAAGGAGTCCTTGTTATAATCAATCCCTTCTTACATTTGTCAATTATCACAACTTGATTATATTATTTTGTTTACAATACTAACGTAATATGTATCTTATATTTTTGAAATATACAATGATACTGTATAGAGATATATAGACAATAAATTGTATTAAGATACTATCGCTACCTTATAATTATATTGGAGCATTAATATTCAAAGTAATAAGTCAAGATTACATTTTGCTTTCTCTAGAGCATGCAGAAATTTATAAAATTCATTTATTGTCATTTCTACGAAAACATTTTGAATTTTACCATTTTCTTCTAAATTCAACTTCAATTGTAAAAATGATTTTCCCATGTTATCGGATTCATTGCTTGCTGCAGTCACTGTAAAAATAAAACTTTTACTTTATGCTGTACCTGATTATTTATTAATAACTACCACAATTTGTTTTTGTTAACCTCATTTATGTGAGCAGTTATTAGTTCTTATTACAAACTAAAAGTTGCGTTTAAGATAGAGTTTTCAGGATACAGGTCAGTAATAACTTTACGAAAGAAAGTTAAAATACACTGTATAATTTAATTATGAGAATATGCAAAGCAAATTGGTCTTGTTTACGAAGGTTAGTTTAGTCTTACCACCAAATCTCCACGAGATATCAGTAATTTTCGTAATATTTTTAACCATTTTGTAGTCAACACTATGTAATTTGTCTTTTTATTTATACACTATTAATCCGTTTTCTATTTAACATTCGACTGTATTGTATACGCCTTGTCCATTGAGCTCTATCTGTGATCTGGTGTGGGTGTAGATGTGAAATTCACACACTGACATTGAGGTTTACAGTGTGAGACAGAGACTCCGGTCCGTCTAACTGTAAGAGAAATGCAAAACGGGTGGTTTCGGTGTACTATATTCATTGAGCTTAGGATAAAGCTCAATGGCTTGTTCAATTGTACATGTCTACTCAATCAGCAGCTGCAGCATATTAGAGAATTCAGCCACCACAATAAGATTCATATTAAAATGTAAAAATGAGATGGATTTAAATTGTAAGAAAAATTGTGTCAGTCATCATGTAAAGAATAATAAATTATTGTATTAAACGTACGTGTCAATTCTAACTCATTAGAAAGTAATGAATTCAATCACAAAACAAAAAAAGAGATGAATCATGAAATCGTAAATGAAAAGCAGCAGGAACCAGAATTTATTTGTTCTGCATATTAAACTATGAAATGCAAGGAATGAATGCAAGACGTTCTAATAAGGATATCAAGTATAATTCGAACTGCGAACAAAAAATATCGCGACGCGAAACGTATATCAGAGTATCGAGTTAAAAAGGAATTTCCTCTCCTTATCTCTGGTCTTTACCAACGATAATGATGAGAATCCTCTTTCTAATTTTTTTTATCATGACTGTAACAGATATAAATTTAAGGGTGAAAGGTATTTCATATTTTTTGAACAAAGAAGTACGTAATAACTGATAACAAATGGAGCTCCTCGCCAAGTGTCACGGTACTTAATTTAATTCCTGACCTGTGACTGTACGAGAAAATGTTACGGATTTTTGTAAAGTACAGATATTTCTTTTAGCGAGATCCCCGTGACAAGGCATGCGAACATAATAAATATGAATGTCTTTGCGTATCCGGCTGCAAACCGAGAATAATATCTTCCAGACAACCACTTTGAACGGTGCGTGTTATCCGTGACATTTTTATGCGATGAAGAATGGAGAGAATTTATTGGAATTTTAAACCGTCCTTCCGGTTAACACTTATGAAGCAGTTTGTCGACCGCCGAGTCGTTCGGGTCAAGATTCGTGTCGATAATCAACGAGAGATATCGTGCGCGGTGCTATCTAAAATGCAAATTTTGTACACCACTCCATTGTTTTCCCGGGATTCCCGATGCTGGAACAACGGATGAATCTCTGACGCAAAAGCTCATGGTTTAATGTCACGCAAACGGTACATCGAAACTTTCGAAATGCGCCATATTTGTTACCAAAGCTTGTTAGAATTTCTAATTAAACCACACACCCAAATGATATATCTGTCTTAAGCTACTCTGGCTGTAGGTCACTTGGTAATAAGTTCTCTAAGTTTCTTCGTGTGTACCTGCTTCAAGCCACCGGAGATTATGATCGGGTTATCATAATTACAGACCTAAACATTAATTTAGACTTTATACAGGCAAGAGACTAGATTATATGATCAACGATGAAATTTATACTATTTTTATCGATATTTTTATTTTTCTACACTTTGTATATTTTTAAATAAAAATATTCCTGTTTTGTGACTGACAGTGGGCACACATTTACCGTAAAGCTATAAAGGGCGATTCGATTGAATAACTGGGTAACGGGGAAAGAGAAAGAGCAATAGCCATAAAATTGAGGAAGGGAAAAGGACGTTATACAGCAGGCAAGGCGCGTGCCAGTTCAAGGGGAAAATTCGTATAAGCGGCTACGCTACGTTTTAAAAAGTATCCCCGAAGGTACCTCTTTTCAAGCTTTCCTTGTATCTCCCTAATCACTTAATTTCTTGCACGATTCTTTAATATCTCATGTTTCACTGTTATTCTACGATAGCTAGACAAATATGAGATTGCTCGAATATAAAGTTGCTTATTACTTTATTTTGTCCTTAGTAGAAAGTAACGTCAGAATAAATTGGATTTAGATAGAAATAGCTTCTTCCTTTTCCCCGTTCGTTTCAAATTAGTAGGAAAATGTATCACACAGATATGCAGACAGAAACGTACGATGCATCGTGTTCTCTGTAAACGCGTTCGAAATAAAAATGATTGTGCGTCAGAGTGAATGTCTGGGAATAATTTCGTAAAAGTTACTCGGATACCCAAAGGGGTATACTTCGTAATATAACACGACGTACGATGTAGCTTCATAAATTATCGCTAAATTTATGTGATGTATATTTTTACCCCCCACCGGGTTTAATGAAAATCTTAAGCCGCAGTCCAATAACCACGTGCGCTCCTCTTTTATGTAGGGAAGGCTTCGTCCTGGAGATCCTTTACACTATCACGGAGTCGTGTTGGTACTGGTGACGATTCCTGCAACTGGGTGGGGCGGCACGGAGGCGCTTGCGTCAGATGAGATATCCAGGAGCGTGTGTCTCCTGGGTTATCCTTAAAATATCCAGGCTACCCTGTTACCACGAAATTCGAATCGCGTCGGCTTGTCATTAATCATGACCTCCCTTTGGTGACCGGAGTCGCTAGGGCGCACCATGTCGTATCCTTTTTCATCGCGCTCTATACACGTTTTAGAACACGTTCGTCGTGTTCGGCTATTCCTTTCACCTTCTCGATTCTCGCCGTCGTCGTGGCACCGATTCACCTCAAACTGCTGCGAGAGAACTGAGCGATAAATCTATAGAAGATGAACGAATCGGTTGCTCGTCTGCTTGCCCTTGTGCTCACTCGATCGACTTTTATTTCAAACACAAGTGGAAAGAGATAGACAGGGGTTGAGAAGGGAGAGGGAAAGAGAAATACAGGGAAACGGGGGGGAAAGATAACAGGTTGAGCCTAAGAGAAAAATAAGGGCGTAAAAGAGGGTAACTGAGGGAGAGTTTGGATGCTCGCGGACGACGTGAAACACGGCCCAGTAATTTGGGGAAAATTTAAAGCGCTCCGTCGAGGTAATTGCGTAGGCGTCTCTATGCCGTCGTGCGCGCACTGCTTTCTACCGCATCTTCTTTTTCCTATTTTCCCCTTTTCGAAGATTTGTTTTCCATCGGAAGGCGAGAAGACTGAAATGGTTTTTAATTAAATGGTACGCCCAAACGCGCTCTCGCCGACAAAGGACGTATCAAATGCGAACACGAATTAAATTCTATGGAAGAGGAGCACATAACGAATGGGAAAGGTGAGGCGCATCCATGGGTACATATAAATATGGGACGGTCTACTTTCGAACGGTCTGCGCGGCTTTGCTCGCAATGTTACGAGAACTTATTACTATCAAGATCCACGGTTACTTATCCTACTGGACGTATTATCCCCGGGGCTTCGTGTCACGAGAGAAAGAAGGAACTGGTCATGCATCAAACAGCGAACGAGTAAATCTTGGCTACAAGGCTGGATAAATCGAGGATGTTAAGCGAGATAGATCGATCTTAATACACGTGAGAAAACGGACTTTATGTTTTAAAATGTCGCGCACATTTGGGCACCGAAAATTTGCAGCAGTAATGTGTATGCAGGAAACGAGCCATCTCCACGCGGACCAGTACCCGGAGTACGTTGTCGAATACTGTTGCAACGCCGAACGTGTACGCCGACGCGTAATAAACGACAGAAAGAAATAAAAACGACACCGTCCAACATAGAAAAAGAATAAACAGGCGCGCAGGACGGTAGGAAAGAGTGCGGTTGTGTGAACTCGCGATGAGAAAGGAGCGACGAGGGCGTAAAAGGGAAGGAGGTAAGGAGAGAGTAGCGACGTTGTGTGTAGCAGTCCGTTTCGAGAGACACGATGTGTTTCCCTACGCTTTTTGTTTTAATTTCGCAAAGGCCACTGGCTCTCGTGTCTTCTTTCCCCCATCCATTCCTTTTCCTCTCGTTTATTCCCATGGGAACCTTGCGAGATGTTCCACGGTGGTTTTCAGCGCTGAGGATGCTGCTAGGTATATATTCACCATGCTCTTCTCCTTTTCCATGCTCATCCTCCCACCAACTATCTTTCCTCTTACCATCGACGAACCTCTCTCTCTCTCTCGCCCCCTCTCGTTTCCCCTTCCCTCTCTCCCTCTATCGCGTTATCCCTTCTCCGGTTCACGTTCGCCGCCACCCCTACGACTCGGTAAAGGGCTGAACCGACCAGTGCAATTCACGACGAGTTCGACGTCGAATCCACGCGTCTCCCGCGTCTTGTAGTTGGCGATTTTTTCACGGCTTATTTTATTTCGGCGTACAATTGATCGATACAGTTTTACGTATTCACGGTTTCATTTCGTTTAATTAATAATTCGTTCTTAGACACAAGGACGTATTGCCGAGCGAGTTTCACGATTTTTCTCGAGCGCGTTCCATTAGCGACGCATTGTTCGCGCCCTTCGGCTCGTCTCCTCTGGCTTTTCCTCTCGCGGCGTTCCGAACAGCCTCGTTACGTGTCGTGCCATCGCACCGAGCGTTGTTTATTCCCTCGTAGGTTAATTAGCGTGCGGCTCAGTTTAATGATCTTTCCAATGTCATTAAACTTCTGCTCGTTTGGGGTGCATTCGAGGCGTGAACTTTGACAAGGAAGCGCTGCGTCAAGTACCTGGAAAATGATACGTTCGGAACGACGGGCTAACTCGGAGGGTCGTTAAACAAGCGACAACTTGTCAGCGGGATGTCAACATCTTATCTGTCTTGTGTCCAACTCGACGATCTTGCAATCTGTCGACGCCGCAGGATGTCACGAGAAAGACACGTAAGTCCGCTTTGCACTGCTGTTGACATTTTTTCCCTTCCTATTTTACCCGTTAATTAAATTTTGATCGTTGTTCTCCTCCGTTTGTTACGCCAAGTAGGCTGAAACAATTAACGTGTATGACTTTGCACTCGTCAAAAAACGAAGGGTCTCGATGATGTCAATGGCTTACAAGTTACTTGAAGAAAAGAATCTATAAAAGGAATAACTCGGGTTGAATATAATCTCATCCCCCCGTTTCCTCTGCCTTCTTTTCCCGGTGGTCGGTTTTATTTACGGCTCGGAAACTCATTGGGCATTCATTCAACACGCGCGTTTTTTTGTCTGTGACCTGTGCCCTCTCGATGTGCGCGGATCGTACAAGTATCTGTCCGTGTAACAACGTCCGTATCTACTTCAATTCTTTTCGAGTGTCAACCGTTTTTGTCTAAAAGCGGGTGAAAAGAACAGACGTACTTTTTGCCCACCACGATGTCTGAGATATATTATCCGCGTTTTTACCTATAACTTGTGCGCGTCTCTGTTCGTGTATGCCATTTCTCAGCGATGCGTGGAAATGTGAGCGTAAACCTACGAATTTTGTTTAACGCTCTAGATTAAACTTATTACCGCAACTCAGGCGCGTAGACCACTTACGGTTCGTTTTAATTCATCAACCGGGAAAGTCGGCGAAACTGAATTTAGCTTAGGTGATTTTCCATCGCCCGATGTACGACTACGGCAAGTCGAATTATCCGTCGGGTAATCGGATGGTGGTTTAACGTGTAAGCTAATTCCAGGGCGCAAATCGCTGAATGCACAATAAGTTTGTGGTTCGGCACGTAGGAGAATAAATAGTAGTCGTCCTGAATTTGGTAAAGCCGTGCCTGGTCGCTGGTTCACCATTTGAAACAAGGACATACTTGAAAGGCGAAAGGGAAACGTGATATTCGTGTAAAAAACGATTGCACCGTACTTCGTACGTCGCGTCGGCGGGATTGAGAATAAAAATCATTGACGTGCTTCAATTCATGCGGTGCCGAGCGAAAAAGTTAGGATTACAAAAAAATAAGGAATGAAGAAAGTGAGAGATAGAGAGAGAGAGAGAGAGAGAGAGAGAGAGAGAGGGAAGATGGAAAAAGGTGGACTCATTAATTCTGTTTTTTCGTGCACGATAATGGAAACTCACTTGAACTTTCTTATTCGTTCGTTAGTCGCTCCTGGCGTCGTGAAAAGGCAGTCTTATTTAGTAGTGACCGGCAAAGGGAAGAAATTTTTCATTCACGGAGGCAATTAAACGACGATATTTGCGGTGATTACAAAAGGGTAAATCTTCCTGTTATCGGAAAATCCATTTGACATATTAATTTAATCGCCATAGGTGATCGACCGGCCAGTGAACGATTGCTTTAATTGGCTCAACGTGTTTCTCAAATTGTTCAATAATAAAATAATACAAGAGGCCCTGGCAACGCTATCGTGTTTAGAATTAAACTGACGTGAATTTCGTGCTACGAGCTCGTGTACACAGGGTAAACAGGGAGGGGGGTAGAAGAGGGGAATTTTATCTGATCTCAAAACTAACCATTTCACCGTAAAACGAATCTCTGTAGCCGTTAAAATAATATCTACGAGAGAGCAGTTGAAACGGGACTTTATGATTTAAATAGCTTTGAACATCTAGCGTGTAAACAGGCATGCAATTAAACAGTTGGCCAATAGAACACATGAAACGTAATCTTCACTAATGAACACCATGGATACACTCTGCGAAAGGATTAGCATGACGAAATTTTAATCCGTCAGGGAACCCAGTCCCCTGGATGGAATACGGAATAAATTTCCTGTTTCCTGTTTCCTGTTATTTTTTTTCCTTTTTACGCTTTCATCCCCTTTTTGGCGGATCAAGTTGAATGAGTGTGAATACGGACGTTCGGTTGATTTATGTATCCGTTGTTTAACTTCAAAAGGTCCATTCGCGAGAGATTTCATTGCCGTTAACACCGCATTCCGTAGCGTAGGTTGACGCGGACTGGTGTACGCTTTGTCAGTGAGACAGATCGAATGTCCCCGTTGATTGCTTTCTTCGATTCCACGGTTCTCCGCTATGATCAATAACACTGTCAATAGGTGATGTACGACTGCTAGAAAATATTTCACCTGAGCGGGTCGTACATTCCAGTAATCCGGCCTTCACGAATTTTCCCGGGAAATCGCCTTGGTCATTTCGATTTGATTCGCGTTCAAACTAATTTTGCACATGGGCTTCGTGATCGTTGCAGAATGGCTGAAGCACGGGTAAACAGCAGGCTCGTGGCAGAAGCTGGCTCCGATACGTAACGCGATATCACGTAACAAACAGGATGTCGTTTTACATTTTGCTGATCATTTCAAAGCAGCGTAATTAAGCGGGAAATAATTGTAATCGATGTGTCGTTGTCGCGATAATACCGTGTTCTGGATGAATAAGTATTGGTTCATTAGTGTGTTTTATTGTATGCCAAATAAATTGCCGATACGCTCTATGGGAAATTGAAAATACGTCAACAGTTCCCAATAATTTATCTTCGTAGCTATAGCGAATATAATATACAGTATGTACTGCATTTCTCATTACTTAACAATTCTCGCGTTAGCCCGCACTATAACATGCATGTCATTAAGTTTCTATTTTATCGCTGGAAAAGAAAAACAGCAGAAAAAAGGCTCACAAAAATCTAGCATTTTAACCGTTTTAATAAAGCGCCATTTTTCATTTCATACATTTGCACATTTCGAGAAATGTCGAGCGTAAAATGTTTCTACCCTGCCAGAATAGTCTCTCGCAAAAATCTCGATCAGTGATGGCTAGCGTTTCAACCATGCTACCGTTCTCTTCACAGTTCTTTCGTGTAGTCCATCCTGTCTTCCAGTAGGCTATATTTTTTTTATGTTCGCATTCGATATATGTACATTCTCTCATTTCATAATTATTGTAACACGTCACTCATGAAATGTGCACTTAACTCGTTGAACTTTGAATCAATATAATGATCGACAAGTACGCGTTCACCCTAGTGGTATGCGGCGAGTAATGAGGATTCTTCACGTTTATGTTAGGTCAACATCTGATGAATTACGTGAGCAAGGAAAATAGAACTGAGAATTTGTTTTATTCTCAATCCATGTTTTTTATATTGTGTTCTGTGCTCAAACATATAATGAAGAAGTTAGATACTGCTGGCTACGAGGTACAGATTACTCACTTTTGAATGGAAAATCTCTGAATTCAAGCAGAGGTTGAAAAACGTGAAAGCAATATAGATGAAACTAGAATTGGACACAGTATCGAAGAAGGAAAATTGAGAGAGCATAGAGACCATTCGCACCTTCGCCATTTGAACATTGCATTTCCAAGCGTAGTTCCAAGACAGCGCAATAGGGGAGGAAAATGTTGGAGGTAGAAACAAAAGGACAGGAAAAGCGGTAGTTTGAAAGAAAAACAACAAAAGGCATACCCAACAACACGCTGGTCAGAACATGATGGCCGCAGTACATCACAGTACAACAGTATAATATTCTCCACAATGCGAGCTGTTTGTAATTGTTTTCAAGATCATCGTCGCGGTCGGTACGGAAAATCAGGTTCTACAGTAAAACTGGACTTTTTGTTTCCGCGGTGTGAGTATCTTATTAACTGGCAGTAGATCGCGTTAAAGCCCTCCGTTCCCTCATTTTCCGATTTCGCATTGATTTTCAGGAAACCTACACCGGCGATTCCGGCAAAATCCTATCGGGGAAAGTTTCAATCGGTTCTGGAGCGTCGGGGAACGTGTGGAACGCGGAAAAAATTCAATCGTACCTCCGCAAAGCGTGCACGCGTGCGAAATTATGCACATACGTAATACGAATCGATATCCGGTGTATAATGCGTCGTCGAGATATGAATGAATACCAAACAGGATGATACAGATTTTCAATTAACCACCCGTCCTCGGCGCGTGTCCATCGTTCGTTTGTTCGTTCGTCCGTTTTATCATAAGTTGCGTGAGTGCACACGGATACACGTACGCAGTGCACAAGTGTCTGTACATACATAGACGGCAGATGGTAAACCGGAAGAACGTATTGCGTCGTCGCGCCGTGCCGCGCCGTTTGCCACGAAACTCGTATTGTCCCGGCGGAATAAAGGGCAACGATTTTCATTTAAATGTCTTCGGGTCAGTCAAGTGGCCAAATAGGACGTGGCATCCGATAACGATTGACCTGATAATTGATACCGAGCCATAGGTTAAATCGATGCTCAGGATTATCGGCACTTTAATCGCCACGGCAGTGATGCAATTTCGTGTACCACCGTAAGGGAGAGAACGGTGGAGGAATCGCGCACACAGAGCAAAGTGAACTTAATTACCAAGTACCGATGCCAAATCCAGGCCAAACCGTTTCTCTTCGTTCATGTACAAACGATACGTGTTTATACGAAAGCGTAAGACTTCTCGGCAATGGAAATCCACATTATTCAAGTCGACTTCTTCGAAGCTCCTTTACATAAACCTCTCTCCTCTTCTTTCCGTATTAAGTTCTTCGTCGCGTTTCTCACAGTGACAACCGATCCGCCGAGGATGTTCCTTTTCAATGATCTCCAATATGATGAGGGTTCACATCCGATAAACCCGATAAATTCCACCGACAAATGTTCTCTCGAATACCAATTAGTATTCATAAAGTCAACTGCTCTTTATCCCCTGATCCTGAACCTAAATCCTTGATCTACCATATTTTCAAAGACGGCAGGTTGCGCACTGAATTCCGTAATTTTTGCCGATAAATTCAAGAAAACCTGGTGGTACCTCCGTGCTACGCGTCATTATGCAAATTAAATTTCATTTTTTATTTTTTAACGGGAGGTTTCGTTAGTCCGTCAAAGTGTGTGTTGGCGTATCTTCGATTTAAGTGGATAACTTTAATTTGCAAAGGAATCGTAAAGGATATAGACATAAGGATGTTTGAGAAGTTTAGTCGGCGGTATCGAGAAAACTGAGACGTTGAGTTATATTCTAGTTATTCACTGTCAGCCAAGAGTATGAGGGACGAGTTATTAAGGGCGTTTCATATTTTCTAGCATGCTTATTATTCAGAACGATCTATCGTTGCGTTTTACGTAGAATCTTTCGCGAAGGTAGCGGTTTAAAACACCGAAACCTTTTCACTTAGATAGCTCGAACTTTTAAATGGTTAAGTAAAAGATTCAGAGAACACTTTTCCATTTCCTGCGAGGATTCGTCCCATTAAGGTAAAAGCCAGTTGTAAAAGTGACCAAATCTTCGTGGAAAGGCACCGGCGTTTTTTAACGAAACTTCTTACCTGTGCTATAAATTGAGAAAGATATTTGTTCTGCCATCGGCCGTTCTATTTACTCGTTGAATAATCGTAAAAAATATTTAACAACCATGATCATATTTCATTACCGGACGAAACGTCTATGACTTTAAGAGTTCTCGCGAGTGAGATAACAGTTGGGTGGCAGTAACCATAATCGTTACACCCACAGATCTTAAAGTAAACTGAAACTATAGATATATTCTCCAAAGCCAAAAGACGTTGCACATACTCGACATACTTTCTCCAAAGTAGTTCACACTTTACGCGAAAGGCAGGCGTCCCTTGATATTAAAAGCAGCAGGTTAAAAGGAAACAGTTGCATTCCTTGTCCGCGGGTGAAATTCGTGAAGAGTTCGGCTCTCACACTTCCTTCGATGCATCATTAGTTTCCGCCAAACGATGTATTTATCCCTATATGTCGCAACATCTTCCGACAATTTCGCTTGTGTCTCGCGTATCGTCGCACACACATATCCCGGGCTTATCGTCGACGGTCTCGTCGGTGGCTGGTGTTGCAGCAGTACGGCGCGCGAGGCATGAGTCGCATCATCATTTATATCCCGTTTCCCTCAGCCTCGTTTCTCCTCATATTTTTTATTGCTCCGACTTGGTTGCGACCTTAGCCGCTCGTTAAATTTCGCACCGTCTTCCGGGAGCTTAACGCTTGGCGTAGTAAAGATAGGAAAGAGGAAGAAGTGCTCTCGTAGTTGAGGGAAAAGTCGCTTTCAGGGAGCGTGGCGAGGTGGCTGCTACCGCAATCGCAACGATTCGTTCGTGCCTCGAGGATTCTCTAATAAATGATGATCTTTTAATAAATGCTTCCTCTCTGTAACCTTATATTTCCAGTTATGTCGGAGTGAACATTTTTGACGTCCCGTCCACTCACCTCTGTAGAGATTTCAACTGTTTAATCGTTCTGAAACGATTCCATCCCTTCATAAAAAGTTGATAGAATAAAAAACGAAATACCTACGTATATTTCATTGCTCGGACAGATATTTTACATGTACGTTCTATAACGACGTTCTTGTTATCTGGAAGTCTATAACTCTCGGTCGATCACACCGGTTCACTGCTAGTAGCAGCAGATCCGCTGAAATTAATTCGTCGACAGGAACTCGCTCGCTTTATTATCCACGGGCTGTTGTTCACGTAGCCCACTCGAGAACATACCATGGTTCTATTGAATTTCCAATTAATGTAACAGATTAAAACCCGCGTACATGAACACGAGTATCACAAATACAGCCACGAGCTCGAATCCTTGGAGCAGTTATGTTAAAATTTGAGAAAAGGAACCGCTGCTAAATTAAAAACTTCGTTTTCTTTCCGTTTCACCGGTTTCATTTCCTTAGTTTAGGGGTTTCCACAATTTCGGTCCAGCTTGGGCTAAAAAAGAAAGCTTACCATTAAGATTTTACGAGTACCTAGTACCTACCACCAACCTAGGATCGGCGCGGCGGCGGCGCGCCGTGCCAACTACATACTATATCTACTCTACTCGAATTTCAGGAGTACGAGCAACAGCAGGGACGAGCCGACCCTTAAGGAAACGAGTCATCTGTAATCCCTGAAGCGGCGTACCACGGTCCAGGCCTTGCACGGATACTAACCACAGTACAGTTGAAATTCCTCAAAGGAGCGGGTTAACCACGACGATCTTACACGAAGACACATCACGCGTTCTCCTCGTTCGGCTCGCGTGTATACGTGTGTACACGCAGGTGAACTTTCCTGGGGAGGAAATAGAGAAACGAGGAGGCTGGTCTCAGCTAAAGGCAGCCGGAGAGAGAGCTTTAACCACCCTTAAGGACACAGTTGTCTGGTGGCCAACAACTTGCCGCAGCATTCCACAAACTTGCACAATATCTACAAGCCCACGAGCGCGCGAAATTCTTTGGCAAATCTTTGGGTGTTCGCTAGAACGCAACGCGTGCACGTAACGCGTGACAGCTCTGCGAACGGTGAAAAATACCGAGTAAGGTTGAGGGTAGACAAGCGAGAAAACGCACCGTTGAGGAGGGTCTCGGGAAAATAAGGTGGAAACGTTCCCGGTCCGTGTTAACGGGCGCGGACGAGTGACGTCGCGTCGGAACAGTCGAGAAAGTAGGCGTGACAAGGGTCCGCTTGAGGCAGAATATTAGTCGTGTCACCTAATGATCGTCGTGTTCCGCTCCGCGGCTGCCTCGTAATATTCGGTGAAATTGTGCTGGTCGTCGTCCATGCGGATTCCAACAGTCTGCAGAGTTCTCAACCCGCAAATTCTTCTCCTTCGACGTTGACATTTCCTGTATTTCCAATTAAATCCGGACGAAGGACAGATAGATTTACGGGGAAAAAGGAGGACGGTGTACGAACGCATGACAGCCGGTCTGTTAAAGTAGCAGAGATTCATTATCGGTGTTGACGCAGGCAAGCGGACCAGTGAGCAGTTACATTATAAGAGGATCTGGTGGGAACGGCGAAAGAAGACAGGAAGGGAATTGCTACAAGAAAGCTCATCTAGCTGCAGTAATATTAATGCCAGAAATTAAGCCACAGCTCGTTAGAGTGGGTGTTTGCTAAAAGCATCGCGAAATTTCCGCGCGATCGCGCTAATATCCTACTGTAGGGCCAAAGAAAAACCTCCTAGTGGCGAAGTAGCGACGCAGAAGCATAGATCTTCCTGGAGGATGGTTCTTCTCTTTCTCTCAGTCCGTACTGTCGGTATCTCTGTGCTGCTGGATAAAAAGAAAGCCAGAGATTTCTTTACAGAAGTAGCCCGTTGGCTGTGGAACACTAGTGACGGAACGCTGAAAGCCACTCGACAGAGAGGGAAAGAGGGAACCGGTGAACGCTCGGTTCTATAGCCCAGAGCATCCTGTATTTCTGATAACGTACAGAACTCGGTAACGTCCCGGCAAGAACGTTAGTGAATGAGGCTGAATGAGAAGTCGGTAAGCAAGAAGGTCCTTGCGCCCAGAGGCACGCTATTAGCTTTACTGCCATAGGATATCACCCAACGGCTTGGTGCAACATCTTGCGAACTTGAACAATACTAACCGCAAAACAGTTTAAGGCCGCCGAGTGTTTCGACGCGTGTATCTTGCAGTTTGTTCTGGGGACGTATGAAATGGAACTTACAGTGTCCTGAACATTTCGAGAGACCGTAATCTATAGCCGCGAAACAATAGCGGAGAGTAGAACAACGACCGAGAAACTTACCAAACCTCTCGTGACATTTGCTTGTCTCGTAGGTTTCGTGATCGCGATAGACCGAAGCTCCGGATTTCATCTCGTTCTGCAACAATCCGCAAGGAAACGCCAGTACCCACCTTATATTCACTGTTAACGACAGCTACTGTTACTATATTTTGTTCGTATCTGTCGGAGATGTTTCAACCTTGTCGAAACGTAATTCGCCAACTCGCACAATATCTTCGTAAGACAGGGGGATTGACTGTGCCAAGTTGTTCCCGCCAAGCGGGGATTTTTTAACTCGGCACCGGAGGTCAATTCTTCTCGGCAAGGTTTCCAGGGCAACAGAAACTTTTCTCTTCCCACCGTTGCGCTAATCAATCCAGGTGAAAGGGTCGGTCGGGAGACGGGTAACAATTGCTGTTGCACAATAGAACAGGATAAAGGTCTTGCCTCTGTCTATTCGAAATATCGAAAACATCAAGTCGCCGAAGGAGAATCGAGTTTCCGGAAGTACGTTTTCAACCTGATAGAGGCTATTTGCCGGGAGTTGCTTTTGAACGAACGACGTGTTTAATCCCCGATAAAAATCGATGTTCGGGACACGGTTCTGTCGCATCTATCAGCGGTGTTAACATTAGATTCGTGAACGACATGACACGGTGAATGAGGGCAGGCGACGAGGCATTGATAATTGGCGGCAGGCTGGGTGAAAAAAAGCGACGCAGAAAAATATGGTACACGAGGCTACGGGTCTATGGCACGCCCCGGGATTTAACGTATCGAGGTGGCTGATGATCATAATACACGGATACCGAGCTACCACACTTTTGCTATCCATCCTACTTAACGTGCTGGTGCGAACCGCTGGTGAGTATAGACGTATGTGCACGTACGCCTCTCGGTTTTCTCTGCACGTTTGTTTCACTCTTCCCCACAGAGACTCTCGGGTTTCTCGAATGTTTGCGCTTCGCTCGATAGAACATTCCGTCATTTCGCCCAAGGCGAATCCATTCTCAACTTCGACGTACTTTTAATCGGTGCTTTGTCGATGCCGAACGCGTTATTCAGACACTGTAGTTTCATTAAAGATCGAACTCTGTTTCGAAATGTCTACGATCTTTTATAGATTCGCTCTCTTAGAATCCATTTTATTAGATTCACTACTCTAATGACATCTTTACTTCGACTTCAATCAGCCGTAAAGAATAAACTGCGCTCGAGGCGATTTTCGCGAGACGAAAATACCTTGGATTTAGTAAATTCTAAGTACAGTCTTGAAAATTATAACGGTCTATAAATTACTGCAAATGCAAAATGCAAGCGCATAATCATCTGTCTCAATGATGCGATCTTCTTTTTATTGTATTGGAAACTATTATATCTCTGCAATAATCTATCAAGTATATTTATACTTTGTCAATCAATTCTGTTGAAATTCATTACTGGATAATGGACGGGCTGAAAGTTACTTTCAGACAGACGGAATGTACCATTCATTCCCCGCATGAATATTAATTTCTCGATTGATAGGGGATTAATTAATTAGTCTAGTAATATCGGGAATACTTATAAAAGCTTTGAAGTCGCGTACAATTAATTGCTTTCTAGCTCAAACACAAGTTTAATCGTAAGCGTTCCGTGCTAATGGATAACGTAAGCTTCCGTTATAAGAGTTCACGTTATTACACATATCTAGACACGGGATGCAACGCGATAGAACACGACATCCAAGTACTTTATCGATCATTTATGAAGCCGCTGAGAAGGCCGCGGGTTACGATGAAATTTACCCAAAGCAATAGCACCGCCGAAACAGTCTGAGTTAACTATAAACTTCTTAATGTATCCATTTAACGTGCTAATGCGGTTCCGCGCTAAATTCCGTTTTCGTTGCTCGTTCGCCTTAAGTAGTTCCTGGGAACCTTCTCGGACCCTTTAAGCTCCGACCTAGCACCTTCTTTTCATTATTTAATTACCGTTACCGTTATCCTTTTACTCCACTCAAAACGCTTTTATTCGCTCCTTCCGTTAATCGGGCGAACGAGCGATAGCCAATTTTATTGGGCAAACGACAAAAGTTCGGTCGTACTCGAGTTTCTGCTCATGTTTTCATTATGCGAGAAATCGGATGCGTTTCAAGGAAATAAATTACACTGTTGCAGCCGCGGGCATTGCGCAATCGAATTGAGTTTCAGGAATCGCGAGTCGAATGCATCTTGCGAACGCAGTAATGGTGGTTGATTATAACATTCGTCAGGAACTGAATAGCTGGTTCGTGTTGACTAGTGGCTTATTTTTGATGCTCCACCATTACAGTTACCGAGTTACTGTTTCACTATTTCAAATGTCCAAATTGATATGAAATTCGATCATTTCCAGTTGCACGTTATTGAGTACACCATGAAATTTCGTGTAACACCTTTGCGGTAGAAATGCACCTTCATTAATCGAGATCGCCGAAAGCTCCGGGCTCCGTGCATTTTCATTTTGCATTAGCCGCACTCGATAAACCTCGTACAATGCTCCATATACCAGTCCCTTTCCTCTATTTGAATTTCATAAATTAGCTCTCAGCATCGTCATACGCGCGTCGGGAAATTAATGATTGCGTGCCACGTGTTTTAATTATGCGAATGGATGAACGAAAGTTCCTAAATGAAGACCCGCCTGTTCATATAAATCTCGTTCGTGCTTTCAAGCGCCAACTGATGCACGGGGGGTAAATATTTCCACCATAGATTACGTGCGCGGATACCGAGTTACAAACTGTGCCGTATGAGTACAATATAACATTTAAGCACAGTAATAAAGCACACCCTAGTTCTCGCGCTTGGGAGCATCGTGAAATCTCACGGCACTTCCTGCCTCGCAAGATGTTACCCTCTGTTTACCCCATCTTTAATTCGTCTATCCGTTCTTCAGAGTCAGCTTAATTCAGCCAAAAACGTTTGCGTCGTTTCTAATATTTAATCATTCACTTAAAATTTGCAACAGTTAAAATAAACGGAGATGTATCCGTAACGCGAGAAAATAAATAAAAGTTCGTTCCTCCTCCCTGGTAATCACGGTGATGTAAGAACTCGGCTCATATTTCTCTAGAATCAAATCTACGTCAAATTTAATTCCATGGAGCCAACTCGGATTTCCATCTACCGCTAGAATTCGTTACGCACTGTTTACAATTCCCCTTTCGCGAGAAATCAGTTGCCTGTCCGGTTCACCGCGATTTATCCTTTCCCGGTTCGTTCTGACCGTGCCCAGCGTTAACTTAATTTAATCTATTTCTACGCGAAACGATACCAGCAGGGTTACTTGTTCAATTTAGCAACACACCGTAGAGATGTATCACTCATGCAAATTTTAGACGGTTGCTTAACCCCCTCTGCGTAACTTGCCGCGGAAGGCTCGCGATTTACATAGAAAACAGGGCTAACGAAACACAGGCAACGCGTGCCTTCTATTCAATAAACGACAAGTACCGGCAAGTTTATAATTTCCCTCGGTCTCTTCGGTGAGCCGTGGAATGGGCGCTCGTTTGCAAGCGCTATGCGCTTTATTGCGTCGCAGACCGACAAAAAGTGTCTCTGTGAGCACCTGTCTCTCTCTCTCTTTCTCTCTCTGTCTGTCTCTCTCTCTCTCTCTCTCTCTGTCTCTCTCTCTGCGTGTGTAAGGGAACGCGGTAAAAAGACTGCTTTCAGCGTTACACGTCTGTCGGACGGTTTCAAACGAAAAAAGAAAAAAAGGTACGCGGTATGTCGAAAAGGGGGTAAACCGAAGTGGCGCGGCGTGTCGCAGTAGTTCATCAGTTTACCCGCTAAATATACTTGGGCGAACGAGAGGATGTAAACCGCACCGTTCACCGCCATATTCTATATCTACGAGCATCTGCCAGCCGACCGGGCTGGTACGCGCGTGCGAATCGTTCGTTTTGCTCGTCAGCGCAGAATATCTGCCCGAAAAATAGTTCGCGTGGTAGACCGGTTCGAGATGTGGGCGTAATAGAAGCGGTACAACGGTTCGTTCAATATATTTGCTGACTGTAACCCGATAGAGCTCATACCGCGGAGTAAACGCGCGTCTCTGTTGCGCTACGTGTTTAGAACTTACGATACTTATTATACCTGCCAGTTCATGGCATGTGTCGGAAACACGGGCGGCTCCGAGATGGTTCGGTACGCCCTGAGAAATTTTCCCCGATCCTGTGATTTACGCCGCGTTTCGTAATACACGTTCGTTTAACGGTTTTAGAATGGGGTTGATTTGAAAAAAGTAACTTGTCGCCGGAACGTGGAGGAACGTGTCCCGGCGTTACGAACTCGCGTCGTGCCGCCGCGCGCCGTGCCGTCTCGCATCGGAAATAAATTTGCACAGCGGGTCCTAGGTTGAAGTTGCTAACGGAGAGAGAGAGAGAGAGAGAGAGAAAATAAGAGAGAAAGAGAGAGAGAGTGCAACGGGGCGAAGTTATGGTGGAACAAACGAGCTCGACATCGTGGTGTTTTATTTCTGGTTTAGCTAGCAAGCGCGTTGAGGTAAAGTTGGTAGTTAAATTGCTGTGAAAGACGCTTAGCGCATGGAAATTTACGAATATTGCTGTTCTTTAAGCCTCGGAAGTATCTCATTTTCCAAGTTTTCAGTAATAACGACACCTTACAGTTGATTATTCCTGTCACGGGATTACGCCTTTTTCTGCCGCGCCGGCTGAATATAAAGCTCGATTTTTGTTTAATGCGCCGGTCAAAGCGATTACGGTGCCTGCAAAGGGAACATTACGCTGAGAAAATCGATTTGCGTCACGTAATACGTAATAAAGCGTTGGTAGCTTCGAAAATGTTGATTGGGTTGCTCCGGCCCGATGATCCATTAATTGGATTACGTTGGGTGCAATGAGAAGAACCGCGTAACATTTTCTTCCGCTTAGAGGGACGTTCGATAAGCCGTGGGAAAATGAAAGCACAAACAAAATTTTCGCCGGGGAACATCGCGGAGTCTTTTACCTCGCCACGAATTGCTTCTTGTAGCGCAACGCGGTGCAAGTTTCATAACAACGTGGCTTGTTTAAGTTCTTATTATTTTAATAGAAATTCTTGGCACGGTCTCGTTCGAAAATAATGAAACTTTTCCCGGATAGCCTTTAGAAGTTTCGTTACTCGTTTTTACGGATCTTTCGCGGTACTCCCGTACACATGCACTACGTGTACACACATACATGCCATGACTCTTGGGGATCCGAAGTTGGATAGAGTATCCGATAGGTGGAACAATTTTGGCTACTAAATTTTATGAAACAGATTATCTTTCCATGCCTGCAATCCAATAAAACTGACAGTCAATTTTTGTGTAGGTACATATGGCCTGCGAAACCGCATCGGATATTTGTAATATTGATACGCATTCGAGCGTGGAAAACAATTTGGAAAACAGATTTAATCAGTTCCACCTCTACTTGTTGATTTTAAATATCATATATACGTTGACGATTATCATAACCGTATACAGATTCAATGTACTTAACGTGTTTTACCTTTCATTATACATACTTACATTTGCATGGTACTTGATAACGGTCTGGCTTTACGCATTGGTTAAACAGATAATTGTTACATTTGCGTTTGATTAGCCAAGTGGCGAAGCCCGTTTATGCATACGAATGCTCGTAATTACTCAAGTCTCGTTAAAATTGCAATTCTTAATTCGCCGCGAATCAGAAAAAAATCACAGCGTAAAGCGTTCCATGATTCTCAGGGATGTACCGCCCGAGGCTTGTTTCTCCGCGTGCGATGAGATAATCTAATTATTATATACGCGAAAGTTTCTCCGCAGTCTCTTGTTTTAATCTTTTTGGATAATATACTGGTATGAAAACCGTCAACGACCCGCTAGCAGAACTAAGGAAGCGAGGTCCCTGACGAGAGTGCATTTTTCTTTTCGAGAAGATGAAGTTTGCTAAAGTTCGTTGAAGCAACAGCAAGTCGGTGGTTTCCCAACCTTGTCCAACTTGGGGTGAAACTTTAAATTATCATTAAAATGTTTGGAAGATCATATTCTTCTCGAAAGAGAAATCAACTTTCGTCACTTTTCTCGTAGCACGATAGACTCTTCGTTTGACACATCTGCCTTGTTCGCCGAACAAATTATGTTCGAAGGCGATCGATCGTAGTTGGAAAATTTCCTCCCGTCTAACGCGGTTTTTTATAAATATTTGTTTCGATCGACAGAAATGATAGAACTCGCGTTAGGGTTGTGCCCTCACATAAAAACAATGATAGAACATTGAAATTTTAACAGTTATTAGATATTACACTAATAAAACACTTGATTGTTTAAACATTTAATTTGTAAATGCAACAATGACAGAATTCAATTTTATAAACATTACTCCTCTGTTATAATTTTTAATTATAATTTTTTCTAAAAGCTTGTTGCTTCAAATATTGGACACAGCTTTTTATTACATGTCTTAAACTTTTGGCAGAGATCTTACGGTTCATGCAACGTTAATATTAGAAGCGTTTACGATCGACGTTCTGACGTTCAATTAGCGTTTAATATTTGACGAGTTGTTACAACTGTCACTGTTCATTTTATGACCCTATTACGTAGTCCCTTTTGACACTTTTCCTCTGCCCGGTTGGCTTCTTCACTGTTGCCAAATAAACACTGGAAAGGAACAATCCCTTTGCTACAGCAAATCTCCTATGTCTATTCGAACGGGGTGCGCATAAATATTTGAGGAAGGGTTGGCGTGGTGCAAAGGGGTTAAGTAAAGTCCAGAGGAAAGCCTCTTAACGAGGATCCTCTCCCCATAGTCGATAGTACATAGTACGAGCGCTGCGACGCAACAGCGAACCACCCTTAAATCTTCTTCGACCTGGCAACGATTGCTTTGATTTAATGCCTATCTTTTCAGAGTATCCGACGGCGGTCACAGCGGAAATTGTGGCGACCAATGGGAATTCGTTAGAGGCCAGCATGAAACCGTTGGACATCGATCTACCGCCCACGCTACCGATGAGCTTCGGTACCGAAAATTCCACGGTGATCTCCGCCCAATCTGGATCCACTGCCCTGTTGCCCTGCGTCGTCCATAATCTAGGGGATGGAACGGTGAGACTTGAATCCGGGAACATTCTTCAAAAAGTTTTCGAAAAAGCATCTGAGGCCCGGGATTTCCGATCCCAGGAGCGTAGAGAAAGTTATTATCATATCAACGTAAGAGCCAAATGGGAGAAGTCCTGGGGGGAATCGAGGAGACCGCGGGATGACGCTGGTTAAGATAGTTAAGAAAGAAACCGTCAGAGTTTCAAAAACGAAATGAACGAAAAGAAGCTGAAATCCTCTTTACAAATGGAGGATGGATGACTGTGCGAATTAAACAGCCCTCGTTTAGTTTGATCCGCTGGCTACGTCAACGAAAATTATTCATTCCGAGATGTATAGATCCATTTAATCTGCGCTGCTATTACATTTATGAACGAGGCCAATGGGGAGGATAACACGGGTACGGGGTGAAAAGAAAGATTTTAATTGAAACAAGGGCAATCGAAACCTCTAAGCCGAAGGTTTATTCGCGACCGGATGAAATGGAATTAAAATCTAAAAGGTCGAGCGACATGGGATTTTTAACTTTTCAGCTGTGTTCCTTTCCGTCCCGATTGCATTGTTTAGCGACGAAAGCTTCCGCGAATCCGCCAGCTAACATACTAATAGCTTTCAATTACGTGCCGCGAACCGGCAGACCTTCGTGAATTATTATACTCCTTCGGGGAATATTTGTACAGAATTTGTATAGAATGGGGGACTTGAGTATCGTCCAATTGGTTTGATACAATTTTTAACGAGAGAGGAAAGGTCGCAGAGAGTCGGAAGGCGAATCAAGATAAACAACAAGCGAGTACCCAAGGATAAAATTTCAGCCCCCTTTTGTTCAGTTCGATAAGTTTAAAAGTTGCGAAATAGAATGTTTTCGTTTTCCTTCGTTAGACGGGGTCGGTTTTCTCCCCCGTTACCCTTTGTTAGTTTCGGTTTATTGGTATGCCGAGACCGTGAGGCGATCCGGGAGTTAAAAATCAAGGCGAGAACTAATCCGCCGACCGAGTTCTTTCACTCATTCCCTATTTTCATCAAAACGAAATTTCACGTAAAAAAGTGAAGCAGTTGGGTTAACGAAATTTAAGGAAGACTCAAAAGAGGCGATTGCGAAAAGTTTCATCGTCAGCGAGTGAGCCGTAAGCATAGTAGGGAAGAAAATAAAAATGAAAGACTGTAAAACGGGCACGTTTCCTTTCAAATTAATGGCTCATAAAAGATTCCATAATGCATAACCATCTACTTGGTGAGGAATTGGAGAGGGTCGCGCCTCATAAATACAATGGGAGCAATCAAAAGTTTAACATCGGAGCGAGAAACGGAATATATATACATCGGCAATCGCGTACAACAAGGCGTTGATCTTGATCGTGCATATTCTTTTATATCATAAAGGCAATGATGAAAAGAAAGTTACAGTTTTTTTGATTTATCTTAACTATATGTATCACAGGTTTCCAAGTTTCTTAAAGGTCTTCAATCTCTCGAACCCTCGAGAATACTAGGAGGCTCTTGGGTTCCCTCGCAACCTTAAGATGCTCTTAGAACTTGGCGTATTCGCGAATCCCGTAATCGGCGTGTTGTGAGAAATTTATTAGCTCGTAAATTAAGTATTTCTGACATGTTTAATTACACTCGACGTAAGCAAACAAAATTCCACTCGGAGATAATTAGACAACGTATCCGTGAAACTCCATTTCGGCAGTCTGTTACGTGTATCGCTGGCAAACATTTGCCGCGTCGCGTCGCATGCAATTAGCCCCGACGCTCAGGAGATGAACACGTATCCGTATTAATATCGTCGGCACGCGTTGCGCGACGCACCTGTATCTGCGATAATAACTCAACCGATCTATGATTTAAACGTGGGAAACGGGAAAATATGCCGTCACGGCGGAGATTTCTGGACCCATTCGCTCCGACGAGTTACCACGACGAGTCGAGTAAGAAAAGGAGCGAGAAGCTCGACAATGCGCGCTCCATTAAGGCGTCGTTATTCCCGCGGAACGAGAAATCAGAGCGAAAAGTTTGGACGGGCTGAAGCTGTTTTTCCATCTAATCTTACAAGATGCCTACTGTTTTATTCGTCTTCTGATACGCGTGTGGAAATATTCGCAAGTATCATCGTTGTTCGAAAACCGTTTCGCCTAGCCGGATAATGTCGAACACGAATACAGAACGAGAACAGAATGGAATGGTTCCATTCCTGTGATTCCGCCTTTCTTTTTTTGTCATGGCGCTCGCAGAGTTATTACCGAGTTATTTGTCTTTCTTCGCGCGTACGGTGGCCGCGTTACGCAATAATTGGTTGGTCGAGCCACGAGCCATCCGGAACGAGGAATGAGAACAGAGGACGAACTCTGTTAGAAAGAGGGAAGGGAAGAGAAGAGAAGAAAAGTCTGAGGGGATGAGAGCAGAGTTCCAGTTAAATCGACGCAGGTGGAAATCAATAGAAAGGTCGCCGTCGAACAATTCGCACGCTACTCCTATTGTCGCTACGTGCTCGCCCGGCCTGCCAGTATAAAATTTCATTGCTCGCTTGCGGAAAAAGTTGAGGGAAAAGGAATAGCGCGGGAAGAAAGCGGAGGACGGAAAGAGGAAGATGGAACCGGAAAAGGAGGAGAGTATGAGATAATGAAAACGGTAGTATCGTTGAGCGTGCGTCGCAAAGTCTTTTGCAATTTTGCGAAAGCCTTGCCTTCTAATTGAATGTGATGTCTTCGAACTGAAAGAGGTCTATGTGCATTTCGACTTATCCCTTGAAGATTGCTGTCCTTTATGTGAAATCTCTTTTATGTTGCCGGCGAATAGAGGAAGAGGCGCACAGATACGTAGTATTGATGGCTGAAATGCACCTCCGCTGCTTGCACCGCGAGGTTGAACGAGTATTATGTATGTGCAGCAGAAAGAGAATCGCGGATGTTACGGTCGACACAGGGAACGTGGAACGCGGACAAATTTTATATTTAATTGCTTAGAAACCTACGAGCGCATGCTGGATGCAATTTTCCCAGGGTACTTTGTGCTCTGATCCATTGTTAGCGAAAACTTCGTCAATGTGCCTTGGAATTTATCATTCATGGCTACGAAGGTGACTACACATAGCTACGCGTACTTTTACAAAGGCAAACAGATTGTCTAGAAAGTTGTTACTACCGCAGGTATTATCAAAGCGCACTTGTCTGCTTAACTGATAGAGTGTAAACCTATGCCAACGTACGAAGTTCAATCTTATTCTCGTCCTTGGTAGTACGGAAAGTTTTGCTGCCAGGCTGTTTCAATTAATTCAAGAACACGTTAACTACCACGTTTCCTTTTTTTCTTTCTCCTATTAAAGAACCTCATCAACACCAAGTAGCACGCTCGTGGTCTAGCGACGGCCATTTTTTCCTCACCGTTCGTTCAGGTCTTTATTCTTTCGAGTTTCCACTTCCATACAGCCGTTATTAGGGTAATGGGTATTTTGGTTAAATGGTAGTCTGATAATCTGAGTGTTCCCATGCGCCACGTGACAGCACTTATGGTTTTTTCAAAGCTTTTACCCGATTGCGCCGCTCGAAAGTTTCGCGTGTATGAATGCACCTCGTTGCGGTTGTCCCTCTCTTTTTTTTATCCATAGTTCGTTAGAAGATAGTGACAGACTAACATTCCGAAAAAAGAGGGTTAACCCTGATTGGCTGACGGGAATAAAATCGAGGGGTTGAACCGGGTCGCGGCCGCCTTTTTGCCCGTAATTCACAGTAATATTTGGATTCCGTTCAAACGGGACGAAATCGAAACCCGACGTAAATCTAATTATACCGAAACACTTAAGACTGCGGTTGGTTTCTTCATTTCCCCTCCGTTCCCGTTTTCCTGCGCGGATCTTCATTCGAGCGAGATCGACAGTAATAACCAGATACGTCTGTTCGTATCGAGAAACGCCTCGGCATCTCCTATAAATATTCGTTTGGAACGAAAACAGTAGCGGGCGAATTTACTTTGGCGCGGACGAGTTTACACGAACGCGTTTGGAGAAGCAACGAAATGGTTACGAGCCAGGCAAACGTTCTTACCAGGAACGCGATGGTTGGTGCGCGATTTAAATAAAAAAAGGCAAGAAAATAGCAATTACTCACGGACGGCGTGCGCTGAGTTCCTTCGTGATCTAAATCAACGCGGAACAAATTATGTATACGCCAAGATGCTATTCCCATGCAACGAACCGCGTCGTTTGCAAGAACCGGCACGGGAAACTTGGACGAGATCTGATGAGACGAAGTTGAAACTAAACCGGAATTTACTAATATCGCTCGAATTGGATCTGAGATTTTCGAATGGACAGACGAGAACATATACAGTACACAGGTCTGATTCGTGTGTTATAGCTTATTGATCGACGCGTTTCCATTGGGGTTGAAAGTTTCATAAAGGTGTGTGTACAGGCGCAACGCTGCGCCGCGCTGTTACGGAGCGGAGGCGAAGTGGAATCAAAGCGAGTACGATTACCTTTGACCGGGCCCCGCGTTGCCCGACTATTCACGTCGATTCTTTATGTAACTGATTCTCTATTTCAGCATTTTATATTTAATATTTCTATATACCGATGCCCTGTTTCTCGACAACGTTTCAGATATCTTTTTTTCTCCGACGATCAGTCTCCTCGGCGTTGGTGCATTTCGTTGACGGCGGTGCACGCGCGATGTGTTACAGCGAGCCGAGTTGAAAGCATTTTCCGCGGTAAAGCGGGTCGAAAAGGGGCAAGTTTTGAGGACGGAGTTTGCATTGTACAGGGGAATCTCTCTCTTTGGAAATCACTAACGATCTGTATCCTAGTAATTGGGTGGGCTCGCGATGCACGACCTCGATGGGATCGGGGAGAACGTGAAAGCGATGTAAGGCATCGCGCTCGGGACTCGGGTCTGCATTCATGTCGGGGAATTGCTCAATAAGCGTGAACCGTTAGAAGGGTGTCTTGAGACTGGCAAATATACAGGCTGATTTCCAGATAGACGGCCAAACTTTCGCGACCGTGCTTC